GACGCGTCCATGGCAGATGAAAAGAAGATGGAGAAAATCATGAAAAGGGCTAAGCCTTTTCTAGATGAAAGGCTGAAAGCCAAACAACGCATCAAAGCCCTTCAGTCTGTCTTGGGTTTGAGAGTTGAGAGTAGAAATAGCCACTGGTGATGCTGAGCAAGCCAAATTCTTTGAAGCCCATGACTTTTCAATCTATATTGTTACAACAGAGTATTTTTCATACAGAGTAGCAAAAATTAGAGAGAAAGCTGCGCAGACAAAGGATGCAGCATCTATGATCAACTCAAAGGATGCCATTGACCTTTTTGAGACTCTGGTCATCTTTGAAAAGTTTCTCAAGTACTGCAAACCAAAGATTCGACAGGGATGGCAACGGAGGAGCTTACTGTCACTGATGGAGTCACTCATGTCCAAAGACAATCATCACAAGCTACGAAAAGAGGGACTGCGACTGCTGCTGTACTACATGGAAGATCAACCAGAAGACTCAAAAGATGCCACGGACGTTTACGCGTCTGTGCTGCAATGCGATGTCTTTGAGCCTCACTCCCTTCCACATCCTCGTATCTTGAGTGAATCATTGTGCATTGGAGAAGATGAATCTGGCTTGATTGCTGCTTTGAAAGACGTAAAGCTTGGCTACAAGGACAAAAAGAAACAACCGCTGCCTCAAGACAGAAGCAACGTCTCTGAAAAGGGTGAGATGAATAGAGGACCCATCATTGCTCGTGTGGTTGGGGACGAGAGAGCTGAAGAGTCTGAGCTGTTGAACATGATCACAAACAATCTCATGACATTGGCAGGAGACCAAGCTAGGCAAGAAAAGCCTCAAGACTCGTCTAGAGACAATGACAGACCACCAGTAGAGCACATGTGGAGTTTGTTTCGAGAGCAGTATCTCAAACGCTGGTTTCCACACATTGGCACCATCAAATCTGGAATTGAGATTGGAACTGTTGAGCTATCACCTTGTCCACAAGGTATTTTGGAAATATTGATGGGATTCATTGCAAAAGTAGTTTCAAAGCCAAAATCGGAGACGGATTGGATCCAAACACTACAGCGATTGCTGTTGGAAGATGAATTCAACCGAGAATATGTACATGAGATTATTCGACAATCAATGATGAGCAGAGACATCAAAGAGCCAGTGGGTGCTGTCACAACGTGGTTACTTGCAAATCCAACAGAGAAACCTCTCTTTTTGTCCGATCCAAGCAATTTCAGACAGCTCTTGAGTCGCTATCTCAAATATGTGCATCTTGGAACACTTTCCAAGGAAGACAAGATTGAGACTCAGTACCAAGCACTGCAACTTGCTGTTTTCACCTACAGAGAAGTAGCATTTGAACGCAACTTCAAACTTCAAGAGCGAGACTGGGTTCTCATCATGGATATTCTCCTGGAAATCCACCAGCGATATCTCGTTTCGGATGACAAGATGAGCTTGGGTGCCAAAGTCAAGGATTTTGCAAGATTAATCATTGATACGATGCTTGGTGTCTGGATCCGATCCAAAACACAATCTGCTGACCAATGGCAACTCTTGGCGGCTGCTTTCAGAACTTGTCATCATTCGATGCAGCATGCCAAGTCATGGACACAGTTTTTCGTTCCAATGACACACACCATGGCCAGAGAAGTCTATCAAACAGTACTTGTCACAGCCACAGAAAAGGACGTCGTGAGAGGCAAAAAGCGAAAAGACGACGATCCAAAAAAGGACAGACCAAAAGTGGCACATTCATCTTCTGCTGAAAAAGTGAAGTATGGACATACGGCATCTACAAGTGATGTCAAAGCCACTACGCTTGTCAGCAGTGATGAAATACCGGATGATCTCGAGTGTATTTGGTCAAACGCACTGAGTGACATGCAGTGGACATCTGCTGAAAGCTACTTTATTTGGAAAGAGCTTCTTTGCATCCTTGGAGATCTTGAGCTCTACAAAACTCCAAAAGTTCACTTTGAGATCGTCAAATGTTTAGTCAGGCTGTGGGATATGCTTGAACCACTGACTTCATCTCAAGAGCGTCTTCCCTATGACTATTCTGGCATGATATTCAAAGCAACGCTTTCAAGCACCGAGTTCTTTGAGAGTGTTGCTGCTGCCATTGGCTGCGTATGCAGAATCATGTGCAAACGAGTGCAGTTACCATTTCAAAGTGCTTCAGTAGCATTCTTTTATCAATTGCTAGAGAGATTGTTACCCTCGCAGAATGACACCATCATCTATTCTATTGTCACGCACTCGCAGAGCATCTTTACCACAGGATTGCCTGGTGTCTACATTCTGATTCCAACTTACATGACATGCATCAAGTGGCTTGTAAACCGTCTCATGCTAGTGTCAAAAGCCAATTTTACCTGCTGAAGTGCTGCAAGGCATTTTATCGCTATTGGGATCAATGCTCTGTCTCGAAACAAGATACAAGACTACTTCAGAGAGTCAGCAAGCAGATATCAATGGCGCACAGATATTCTGCAATTTGAAGCGAGAGATTCTACAGATCTGGAGACTGCTCCTGGATCACCAGCTGAGCAAAGGTGCATATGAGGTCTGTCAACAAATCCTGTGGTCTTTAGGATGCATGAACTTTCATGAGCTGTTGCAGGCAGTCCACGATGGTCCGTTTCTTGAAGAGTGCTTCAGTCTCATTGTTGACCACATGTCACACAGAGATCATCTTGTAGCTAAAGCAGCGACAGATTGCCTTATGCTCATCATGCAAGAGCCAAAGGCTGTCAAGATTGACAAGGATCTGAATCTGTGGCTCATCAAGCAGATGATCTTGAGTCTCAGTCAGCACAACACTCTGGAAGACAAGAATTGCAAGCGCGAGCTCTCCATCAGTGGTATCTAGACTCAAAATAGCCATTTTCAAGTGCTTGACACTTTGGCTCATGGCTGCACCCAACGAAATTGTAGCAGATCCAAACATCGCTCTCAGGCTGTCTGAAATTATTACTGAAACCCTTCACACAGCAGAAAAGAATCAGCGTGAGATGGGAGACCGTTCAGTGCATGGTATAGGGGCTCATTTCAGAGAGATCGCAAAGCATAGATGCCAATGATGCGAGAGCAGCTGACATGATTCAAGTCGCAGCAGAAAACTGTCTTACACATGTGCTACATCACAGAGGCAACTTTCCAAGTCTGCATGGACCGGCCATGCTCGGATCGTTCTTTGTTTGACACTAGTGTTGTTCAAGATCCTGGTGTCGCCGAAGATCAGTTGAATGAGTCTTTCCACTACTTTTCGCACAAGGATTCATCCATACTGACCGTTATTGATCGTGTCAAGACCATTACCATCATCATTAGAGATGCTACAGGCAAATACAGTTGGGAATTGGATCAATTCCACACTGAAGCTTTGCATCTAAATCGACCAAACTCTTCCAGTGAAATCAAACTTACAGATTCCACCAAGGAAAAGTCCTTATTTCCACAATCACCATCCATGTACACGTTCTCAAGATAGCATGATGAGTTTTAGAACCCTAAACTCACAGAAATCAGACGCATCACTTCAGAAGCAAGGCGATTTTGTGGAGCAAGTGGTCGCTGTTGTATCTCAAAAATTCAAACACGTCTCTGTCAATTGGATGCAACCGACAAAGCAGCTCCTGCAAATTCAAAGCCAATATGCATCAGATCAGATGAAAGAAAAGCTTGAGCAGCGCTGCAACGAGGAAGAAAAGTCCAACAGAGATTATATCCCAACATCTCGAAAAGCAGGTACATCCATGCACAGAGTCGTACAGAGACCACAACATGCACCAAAAAATGCCATTTTTCAAGCCGCCAGACTGTTCTTGACTTCATTTGGTTACTTTACGTTTGATCCAGAACGACGAGACCTTGTCCTTTTGTCAAAAACAAGCAATCTTGTGCGAGATCTAAGAGGACTAGATAAGAAGCATGCGTATCTCATCTAATGGTAGCAGAGAAGTCGCCAAAATTGCGGTTCTTTACGTAGGAGAGAATCAAGAGGATGAAGCCACCATTCTCAAGAATGAGCATGGGAGCAAAGACTATCACGATTTTATCACAGCGCTTGGTTGGAAGGTAGATATTGAAACACACGCTGGCTACAAAGGCGGATTGGAGTGTCCAATGTTGCAAGATGGCACTGCCACATATCACTGTGACTCATTGCAAGAAGTCATTTTCCATGAAGCTACATCCATGGCCAGTGATCCAGGTGATCCCAAGCAGTTGAAAAAGAAGAGGCATATTGGTAACGACCATGTTCATGTGGTGTGGAACGACAACTGGGCACAATACAAGTGGGATACCATCGGTGGCGACTTTGGAAACGCACAGATTTCGATCACACCTCTTCCAAATGGTCTCTACGCCATCGACGTCTTCAGAGATACAGCAAACAATGTACTGGTACTGACACAAGGTCGCTAGCTTCGGCATCTTACAAAAGCACAATGTGGTCACAAAAGCAGCACTTGCGCCGTTGGTCAGATTTACTGCACTGAATGCAAACCGATCTGCCATCACTGCTGGATCACACTTGGAGACTGAGGTGCATCCATACAACGACAGACGTGATACTATAAGCGTCATCTCAGGAAGACATGCAGTGCCATCCATGACATTCGAACAGCTCATCAGCACCACCACAACTCTAGGAGAAAAAACAGAAGTCTCTCCAGTTAAGGAACCAGTCACAGCTTAATAAAAATGATCAAAAACACCCAACTCGCTTGATCGTTGACGTACTGTTCCTGTAGAATCGCTTTTTTCAGATATGGTTCTGAGGAGTGGACACATGGATTTGCTCATCGCGACAGACACACTTGAATGATTGAGATAAAATTAAAGAGATAGACTCAATTCAACAGGCTTTTCCATTTCACAGAGACGAGACCAAACATAGAGATCAAACATCGAAAACACGGCCCATCTCAACCTAAAAAACAAAAGCCACAGCAAGTTAGCAAAACAGCCACAAACTTTGATGAGAAAAGACAGTAACTGTGGGGGCTAACGGGGATCGAACCCATGATCTCTCGCACCCGAAGCGAGCGCAGTACCACTTTGCCATAGCCCCACGCAAATTTTCGGAATTCTGCAGTTGTATATATTGTTGAAAAAAACTGCAAGAGTTAGTCAACATCTGACTTTTCAAAGATGTTCCAAGGATCCAAGGTGAATCGAAAGGAAATTTAGTTCAAAACGCGACACTGAACCACATGAATATAATCTGGGTAGAGACTTGTGTCAAGATCTCACATTTATGGCCTGTCCAAATGCTAAAGGACAGTCCAAATTTCTAAGATGAACAAAGGACACTCCAAGTCTGTGTTTCTCACAGCATGCCTATCAAACGGGATCCTTCACAATGAAATCATAATCATCATCAATGAAACAAAAAACTGTATGCCAGCTAGTCGGTGATCTGTGAGTCTGGGGATTGGCTCCGGTGTGGCTGAAAGATCTCATAATGCATTCATTTCAGAACACGCATGCTCCTGTGATTGGAGAATGCATTCATCCTCGCATGTCCGAAGTCGACACCATCAACTCTGCTGCCACATTCTCGCATGCCTGCGTGCTCTCTCACATCGATGTCTCTCAGCTGTGATTGTCATCTTGAATCGTCTCTCCACTGAAGTAGTAAGATGAGAAACTTATCTTTTTACTCTCTGACAGCCTTCTCTTAAACCAGTGTGGCTTAGTCTTTGTACGACTGTGTCTCCATCGCCCCATGACCTCAAAGATCGGATGGATCGATGTCAACACGCCCCATCATTGAGGATCTTGGAGTCCGAGCTCATGACGGTGTTGACTGAAGAGTGGGAAGTCAAGTGGCTTTGTAAGAATGTCAGCCACCATCTGTCCAGTCTTGGTAGTGATGAGCGTGATAGTGTTGTGCTCTTGCACATGATCTTTGATAAAGTGGTGTCTGATCTCGATGTGCTTAGTGTTTGAGGGAATCATCTGAGTGTTTGCAAGATCGATGCATGCTTTGTTGTCTTCATGCACTGGAGTTGGTCTATCCTGCTCAAAACCTAGTTCTTTCAGAAATTGACGTAACCAGATGATTTCCTGAGTCACTGCAGATAATGCCATATATTCGGCTTCGGCACCGGACAGTGCAACTGTTTTCTGCATCTTGCTACACCAATGACTGGTGTGTTGTCCATATTCGCAATATACCCAGTCCTAGAGCGTCTTCCATCTTTGTCTCCAGCCCAATCAGAGCCAACATAAGCTCGTAGTTCCAATGACGATCCATCCACTGTCAATACCAAGTTTGGGGTTCTGGAGAGATAACTGACAATCTTAAGGACTGCATCCCAGTGCTCTTGACCTGGATTGCTTGAGTATCGACCAACCATGCTGACTGCTGTTGAAATGTCTGGTCTGGTGGTGATAGCAATGTAAATCAAGCGACCAACAGCGTTCTTGTAAGGAAAAACAGACATGCGTTCTTTTTCAGCATCATCCGTTGGACATTGATGCTCAGTCAGTCTCTTTGAAGCATCAGCAGGTGTCTTGCAAGGTTTGATGCCATACTCGTTCATGTCTTCAGCCAACTTGTGGATCTTGCTCTTTTGGTGGATATGGATCAGTTCTTTTGTCTATCTCTTGTAAAATGCATGTTCAGCCAGAATCCAATCAGACCATTGTCTGTAATGGCAAATTCAAGATCGATTGCGTGTTCAAGCCAGCCATGATGACACTGCTAGGTGTCAGGAGAGCCATGTCGTCTACATACAGGAGCAAGTAGCAACTTTCCCCTTTGAATTCGCCAATGTAAGCACATGGATCTGATCTTGTCCTTTGAAATCCGAGTCGGACCAAAAGTGCATGAATTGTCTGATTCCACTCGTAAGGTGCCTGTTTCAGACCATAAAGGCCTTTTTCAGACGAATCACTTTGCCTTTGTACAACTCCTTGTTGGGATACCCGTCTGGGATCTCAATGTATATCTCTTCATGGAGAGAAGCATTCAGAAATGCAGTTTTGACATCAACAGTGTCAGTTTTTACAGAATGAATTGGAAGTTGTGTCAACTTTACTCTTGGAGATCAACGGCACATTCACGTGTGGCGTTGGTCATGTGGAGACTGGATCATGCCAGATCACTCTCTGGGTTCTCGATGACCCATGAGCTCCTTCAACACGTCCCATCATCGTGAACACAGAGTCCAAGTGCATTTCTGTGTTGACTGAAGAGTGGAAAGGCCAGCTGCTTTGTAAAGAGATCTGCGACCATTTTCCCGGTTGGTAGTTTCTCCAAAACAGTGTTCTTGTGCACGGCTACATGGTCCTTGATGAAGTGGTGGCGAATCTCAATGTGCTTCGTCCTGGGAGGCAGCAGTGATGTGGACGCCAAGTCGATGCAGCCTTTGTTGTCTTCAAAGACGGTTGTTGGCTGCTGCTGAGGGAAGCCAAGCTCTTTCATGAATGTTCTGAGCCAAAGGACCTCTTGAGTGGTTGCTGATACTGCCATGTACTCTGCTTCTGTTGACGACAGTGCAACTGTCTGTTGTAGCTTGCTGCACCAGACCACAAGTGAATTTCCGATGAAAAGTGTGTAGCCGGTCCTTGATTGTCTCTTGTCAATGTCTCCAGCCCAGTCAGCGTCAGAATAGGCCTTGAGCGTTGCATCTGGTCGTCCACCAAGAGTCAGAACAAGATTTTTGGTCAATTTGAGGTAAGACACGATTTGGAGCACAGCGTCCCAGTGCTCTTGACCAGGATTGCTTGCGTACCGTCCAACTTGACTGACAGCGGTCGCAATGTCTGGACGAGTCGTGATGGAAAGGTAAATCAGACGTCCCACGACCCTCTTGTACGGGAAAGCAGCCATGCGCTTCTCCTCAACTTCGTCTTGGGGACACTGCTGCTTGCTGAGTGTCTTGTTGGGATTGGCTGGCACTTTGTGAGGTCTGACGTTGAACTCTTTCAGGTCTGTCACCAACTTGTTGATTTTGGTTCTCTGATGGATAAAGATCTCTCTGGCGGCTCTGTTTCTGATGAAGTGCATGTTGAGCCAGAACTGGATTGGTCCTTGGTCTTTGATGGCAAATTTCGTGTGAATTGATGACTTGAGGTCTGCCATGATCGTTCTTTTCGGAGTTGCTAGTACCATGTCATCCACATACAGCAGAATGTAGCACACCTTCCCCTGAAACTTGCCAACATAGACACAGGCATCTGACCTCGTTCTTTTGAAGCCGAGAGAGACAAACAGGGCATGTACAGCCTGGTACCACTATATGGTGCTTGTTTCAGTCCATACAGGCTCTTCCTGAGCTTCAGGACCATTCCAGAGTATCTGCCAGCATCTGGGTATCCACTTGGGATTGTAATTGTCAGAATGAGGACATCACCAACCCAAGCGATGGATCTCAGTCTGTTGGAGGGGATCGTCGTTCACCGATGCAGTCTCCGAGAAATCACGGAGATCACACGATTACACCGCACAACGTGGCCAACTCGACATGATTGGACCCAAATCGTCGGTATAAAAGGGATGAACTTCCCAAGTAAAATACTTGAAAACAAATCAATTACAACTGATTAAGAGTCTCAATGCCGCCTAAGGAAACTAGCCAAGAACAACTGCAGCTTATGCAGCAAATTATCATCCAACAGTCACAACTGATTGAGAAAATATCGAAATCCGGAATTACCGAGACTATGCCTCTAGCCAAGAGAGAAAAATTGAACCGAGAAACGACAGTCCTGAACTTTATGGGATGGATGAAGAATATGCGAGCCGATCTTGAAAAACTCAGTATGCTCGACTCTGATGGGAAACTGATTCCACAAGCCGTGCCATACATCACGTCCTGGTGCTCCAACGAAGTCAGTGCCTTGCTTCCAGTGACGAGTGATGCTGAAGAGTTGTGGACCTTTCTCAAGGTCACGTTTGGAGCGTACGATCTGCCAAAGTTGAAACAGCAACTCAAGAACATCAAGATGTCAGGTATCGACTTCAAGCCATTCTGGGAACGACATCTGGAACAACTTGCCATCTTCCGAGCTGCTGGTGGTGTGATATCTGAAGAAGACAGACTGGACATTGTGCTAGAATCTCTGAACAGCGAATTCTACCAGTCTGTGATCCGTGAAATCCGTGGCATGATGCGAAGAGAAGCCAAAGTGACCACCAAGACTGTGGAGAAGGCCAGACAATTGCTGCAAGACTTTTACGATGATACGCCATTGGAGATCCGCCAAGCTACCAAGCGACAGCATTTCCGAGGCAGTGCAAACGCGGTCAATCCTAGAAAGTCGAACTGTCACTGCTCCCTGTGTGAAAAGCATGGCCGAATCCGAGTTGCCCGTACACATGAGGACAAGAGCTGCTGGTATGGAGATCAAGAAGGCTGGAAAAGACAGGAGGTGACTAAACCCGTCTCAAACTATCTGAATTTCTTCCATGACACTGGCTCCACTCCAATCAGTTTTGTCAATGTTGAACCTGAAAACCTCAAAGAAGCATCTGGCCAAGTGATAACTGCCAACAATCAGCCCGCCAATATCGCTGGAAAAGGAACTCTTCAATTTGGTGACATGGAGCCGATTGAAGCCTACTATGTGCCTGACTTTGACAAGAATCTCATCTCTGGAATCCAAATTATGAAGATGGGATATGACCAAGTGATCAGCAAGGACGAGCTCAAAGTGATGAAGGATGGAAAAGTGGTTGCAACAGGAAAGTATGATCCAGTATCTGGCCTGCTGAAGATGAACCAAGAACCACCTGCCTCCTCAAGCCTTGTTTATGGACAGCTGCACCAAGCCATGGGACATGTTGGACTCAAGAAGATCAAAAACACACTGAATGCGGTGGAAGGTGTTACTGCCAAGCTTCCCCCAGAGGAAGAAGACTGTGAAACATGCGAATTGACAAAGGCCACAAAGGTCAATGTAGTTAAGGAAGGAAGCAAGCCCACACACCTACTGGAAGTCGTAGAGTCTGATGTGCAAGGGCCATTCCCTACCAGAGCCCAGGATGGGACCAACTCCAATGTCAAGTTTCTGGACAAGAAGTCGGGATACTTGCAAATGTTCCACATTGCCGACAAGTCT